TGGCCGAGACCGACTTTACGCTCACGGCAATCTCACGTACCATTTTTCACTCGTATACATTGATCATGATCTTAACTTTGGCTCATACACTCAAACTAACGAAAAATCACTCTCGAAAATCAGATCAGAGGTTACAATAAGATCTATAAAATTCTTCCAATCCTGTCGTAAAAAAGGTAAAAAAGTCGGCCTTTAAATCCTACAAAATATTTAGTAGGAAGAACTTTTAGCAAAAACGATTGCCCCACGGGACCAAAAGACTATTTAATAAAAATATTTGCTTTGAGCTCTGCCTCATTGTTGCACCCCTACGCTTTTACAACAGTAACTTGCCTCAACTAATCGCCTATGGAAAGTCCTGAAATAACAATCAACGCAGGCCGCTTCTGCTTTGTTTACGTGGCCAAGTCAGTTAGACATGTGAAGGCAGGGGAACTTCACTCATCAGTGGCCGAAATCAAAATAAAATGCTATAATCACTGAGTCGTTAATTCTATGTCTATTATCTCCGCATCAGCGTAAAATATTTTGCGTGAGCCAAATAGGAAGTAGCCCATTGTTTCAACATTGTATCTGATCGTGGCGCCTTTCCTACATGGTGAAACTATGTAGTACAGCAGTGCTTGTTTATATTCCAACGCTTGTTGCCCAGCAAGCATCCGTACGTAAGAACCCTCTTGCTTTAACACCGCTTTACTCTACAATTTCCAAATAAATAAAGTCTCTCATACATTTTCTTAAGGTAATTTCGTCATCCGGTTTCAGGTCCCATATCGTAAGCCGAGGAGAACGAGGAGTATGACAATTATAGTAATATTTATATACTTAATAAACATTTTACTTAACACAAAAAGGTAATAAACTGCATTATATAAAGGTTAAGGGGATTGTCTTCAGTTGTCACTTTGGTAAGTCGTAATTCTGTGCTTATGATGGCGCCTCTCACTAACGATGCCAGCGAAACGTCTGAAAATGTACCCAGCCAGTGGTTCAATGCTGAAAATTACAAATACTAAGGCAGAGGAAATGGAACTAGATACGTTCCACAAGATCTCCCTGACACTCCGATCAAGTTGCGAAAACAAAGTCAAACCAACACTATGAAGCTAAATATGACTACGACCAAATAGAAGACCACACCATCTTGGTCTTCATATATATGATCTATAGAAAGGCAACCACAAAAGTCATCAAAATTTGAGGGGCTGGGACATTTAATGCAATTTTCCCTGATTAATCAGAGCTGTCTCAAGTAGCTCCAAATCTGAACCCATATGAATTTACACAGGTAAACGAATGCACACCCATTTAAATGGATGTGGGCATGAACAAATTATTATTCACTTTTCATTTTTATCTTCTGTTCGAAGTATATAAAGCATATAGGGGTTAAACGAACCATTTGAATGATGAACTTAAAATAAGTAAGGTGATCAAAGTTATCACAAGAATGAGATCCAACTTTTATGACACTCAACACATGTACACTAAATACGAAGTAGGGCTCCTGTTTGTCAAATCGAGTTTTTGCTTGAAAAAACAAGAAATGCCACCATGAGACAAAGAAAACTTACATGGCTGCCAGAAAGATAAGCAGGCTGGCCAGACAGGCTAATCATAGATTGTGGTGGAGGCTGTGCCTGCATGAAAACTGTAGCACCAGCTGGAGCGATCAAAGCATGAGGAATCTGACCGATTAACCCAGCTTGTCTGTCGATATCACCAACTGCAGCGACTGCAGCTGCGGCAGCCGCAGCGGCAGCTGCTACCGAAGCGATCGCCGTGTGATCAGAAGGATATGCAGTGACAGAGACCGGAACTGCGCCTGCAGGGAACGATGCCGGCTCAAAGGCGACCAGTCCTGGTGCCACAGCTCTCTGGCGGAGAGCCTCCGAAGCGATGCAACTAAGGCCTGATCTGGCCATAGTGCATGTTGAAGTCATCAATTGATTCGCATGCGAAGAGCGCTCTGGACTAGGCAGAGACAAAATAGAGACGGGCGAAAACCGATTTTCGAGTTGGGGTAGATGCGGTCCAGTTGAAAAGACCGCCTCGGGCGCAATATTATGTGACAAAGAACGGAGATCGCCTGCGAAATGACAGATACGTTAGAAATAACAAGTAGTGACCAAAAATAAGAATTAAAAAGTGTAAGGTTTATGATAACATTTAATAGAGTAATAGACTTAAGTGAACAAATAGCGATATAAAATGAAGCACTAAAAAAATACACTGGGCGTACGGATTGGTAAAATTTACAAAAAATTCTAAAGCATAGAGTTGATACGTTAACCAATAAACTTAATCCAAGATGAATGGAAATGTTTCATAAAGTAGATATGCAAACTAAAGTGCAGAAGTCGAATCAAATAATAATATAAAATACACCTAAATATCATACCAAATTAAAGCAGATACAAAAAATTAAAGAACGAAGAGCAGTTATAAAAAAGAAGGCATAGCATGTAGGGGGTTGTTTGACCTTGTTTTCCCAACTGGGTCATATTGGTAGGAAGATGTAAAGGAACGCACCTAGTCCGGAATCCATTGTATGCATGATCATTTACAAAGTCGGACCATGGACGTGGTACTTTCACAGACGTTTCACCGGCATCGTCAGTGAATCTCGCCATTCTTAGCACCATAGTACAGCTCGCCAAAGAGACAAGTGAAGCCCATCCTTTGACCAAACATCTACTAAACAGTTGTGGTATCTCCCCGTCTGCCCTGGGCTATTCACATTTTCTATATCCTCCTATTTCGCCCTCACTGTCACCATTTTCACCGTGCTTATTTTGATGTAGTGTGGTGTGCTCCTTCGAGCGGCAATTATGAAAACCGAACACACTCCGCGATGTCGTTCTCACCCCCTTCACCCTTGTGCTGGGAATGTTGACCAGTCTGTTATATTATTACGTAGTCCTTCCCTGGGTCCTATCAGTCTCCCTCTTGACCAGTAGAATCCGTCTGCTATCTTCCTGGTGCACGTATCTCATCCGACCCCTGCCCCCCCATCTGTGTTACTCGAGGCGTAATTCGCCCTCCCATGCGTCTGGGTGACTAATTCGAAGCTAAAGACTCTGTATAAGTCTTATGGTCATGCCTTTGCTACATGGACCACGTCTCTTGTAAAACCTACTATCAGCCAACTAGCCCCAATCGCCGCCGCGCCTATCCTGTTTCTATCCCTAATATCAAGTCTATGACTTGCCATGCCCTAGTCTCTTGTGTGCCAGCCCACAAATGTTGAGAACGCCAGTGTGGATTATGGAGGGTCCTTATGAAAGCCGATCAAAAGGGCAGACCATATCACAAGCAAGTAAAAGATTCTGATGGTGAAGAAGTGATACAAGGATCTAAGATTTTGTGATTAACCCATGCCGAGAGGAGAGATACAACGATTGTTTATCAGACAATTGGTCAAAGAATCGGCTTCACTTGTCTCTTTGACAAGTTGTAGTGTGGTGCTAAGGCTGGTAACGATGCCGACGAAACGTTTGGGAATGTACCACGTCCACGGGCTGACTCTGGAAAGTATCATTCATACAAATGACTCCGGTCCAGGTGCATTCCTCTAAATCTTCCTACTAATATGACCAAGTTGCGAAAACAAGGTCAAAAAACTTCTATACACCGAAAGAAGACTTCGACCATAAAAAGCACACAATATTGGTCTCCATATATTCAAATCAGAGGAAGATTGCATCTAACCTAAAATAAAAAATTTGTGCATAAGGAGTGATGAGGACAAGTGAAGATTCAAGACTTCAAAATTTGTCGAAAATAATTTATCGAATTTGTTGACATTATTCAGCGAAGTAGATGCTCTCGGGCCTGACTTAATGATCTATATCACTGCAATTTAGAATAGTAATGAGGGCCTAATGAGTGGTAATATGTAATTACCTCGATCAAGATCATTGGTGAAATTCACAGGCTCTGTGAAGCCAACTGCATCAGTCAGGCCAACACCATGTCGGACAGGTGTATTATGGATATTATCGGAGACAATTAGGCCAAAGGAAGATGATGCAATGGCTCCCGACGGCCCAGGAATGCCTGAGTAAGAGCTGCCAGCATCACCTTGCCTCTTAAAATTCCAGTTGATACTTGCTGGCGAATCTGGAAAATATGCAAAGAAAAAGATGGTGATAAGAGGATTTATACAATACAGCTAGTAGACAGCAGATATTAGTAATAATAATGGTAATATTTCAAAAGATCCCCAAAACAACAAAAAAGCACCATTTTGTACAAATGATAAGGGCTAGAATAATAAAGTAAGAAAAATGTATGAAACCAATCATGAGAGGAGCTATAAGTGAAAGCAATAAATTTTGTCATACGTAAGATTTTCAATACTAGTCAGTTAAATATTGGGTCGAGGTTAGAAAGGGACTGTATGCATAAGAACCACCGTTTTGGGAATCCTTTGAAATAATATACATATGGACAAGGGCTTAAGGGCAGGCCGATATACTATGATTTTCATGCGCAGTAGGGAACAGCTAACAAGAGGGAGAGAAGGTACTAATTAAAAGTGCTAATGCACTCCTAGAAGCCACGCCGTTCGGCACCTAAGATTGGTGCAGGTGGCTACGCTTCATTA